GTATCTAGAAATTTTAATTGATGTTTAAATTCATATACTAGCAATTGATTCTTGGATAAAGCTACTTGTACATAATGATGTCCATACACTCGCATGTGTGTGAGGCCCGCTTGATTATGTACACCAAGCACAACCCTTGATTCTTATGTACCAAATGTAGTATAAAATGTTGCTCATTTCCAGTATTTTATCATCACGTCATATAAGTTGAACTTTGAGTATACAATTTTCTTCTCTTAAATTTTCATACTAAATTTTATTTTCTTTAGTTCATTTGAGACTCATTGGATTCTCCAAGAAATTGGTATCAAATATTACTTTTACAGTACTTATAAAGTATTTTAGAATAACGTGCAATACACGTTCAAATTTGACTAGTGCTCCAAAAAAGAAGGAAAAAATATATGAGATAACAAAGCAAGGTATTTTCTTGTGAATGAGTTGGGGTCATAGCACCTGCTTATTCTTATATTTTCTTATGGATGAATTAGATTTTATATTAGCGCTAAACTATCGGTTCGTTAACTTTTATTGTGTGAATGTATGGTGAAAAATGTGTATGAGAATAAATTGTTTTATTTTAAAGCGAGTCAAACATGGACTAAATATAAATAAACAAACGTGTTCTTTCTCTAGAAGTTATATGAGATGGTTCAACAATTTGTGATCCAAGTGACACTGCCGCCAATTTATGAAAATTGTACGTTTGTAAGACTAGTTACGAAAAAATAAGTCCCATCAACACGTGAATGGACCTTAAATTTAAATAAATAAATATCTTCACTCGTTAACATTTTTTTTAGTTTTCAGATGAGATTATTGAACAACCACTAATGAGATGCCTTGTGCTTTTTCTCCATGAGTTCCTCAAATTCTTCTGATCCCATTTGTAGACTTCTTAGGTGCACTGGATTTATGGATATAGGAACCAATACAAATCCTATAGATGGCGTGGTAACACAATCGTTGTTCCATGGGCTATAAGAATCGGCCTTGAAAACTACACATGATTCGTTGGCTTTCAAGTCACCTAGCACGGTAAGGTTTTCGCAGCCTGCTAATTGATCCCAAAGTCATGTATGATCAGCCCTTTCAATTTCTTGACGGAACTCAGTTAGCCCATGAAATCATGTGTTGAAGTGTGTTCAACAGGTTAATGGATCCATAACTAGTCCCCATATAGTTCATCAGACATTACTTAAGCATGAAGAGAGCGTTGCTGAAACAGAGAAACGGGCTGATTCCCGACTAGGCTAAGAGAGATAGCTTCAATGAAGTTAGAATATACTACGCCCATATGAAATGCCTCATCCATAATTTTGTATAATAATACTATTCGAAGCACTTAGTGTAGATACCAAATTTTGTTTCATATCTCCAATATTTTTTCCTCGAATTTCTTGTTTGCAATGCATTTTGGTGCGAATGTACCAGTTGCTTGATAGTGAACATGGGACTCTCACTCTGTCTTTCATTTTCCATGCCTTCCTATGTAATCTTTTGAACTTGGATACTTCATAAAATTCATATGAGTTTTACCCTTAATGTGCAGCACACTATTTATGAGGGAAACTCAGTTGCACGGACATTTCAACTAGGGTAACATATTCGTATTCGACATGTGTCAAATATCGAAACTCATTGGATACTACTAGGGGTGAACGCAGTTCGGTTTGGACGGTTTGTGATATATTTTCAACTCAAACCATTTTTAGCGGTTTGAAATTTTTTCGAACCAAATCAAACCATTTTATTTTTCAAATCAAATCAAACCAAACCATAATTTGATGTTTGGTTCGGTTTTAATCCGCGGTTTGCCTTTCGACATTATAATAATGTATTGAACATAGTTAAATATAAGTATAAATAAGAACTAATAATGTTAAATGTTAAATTACATTCATATTTACTATGAAACACATGAATAAATTATTTTCAAAATTGATTGTTAAAAGATGTTAATAGAAAAAATAAATATTTCTTCATTTTTATTTACACTTTCTTGTTTGACATTCATATTGTTATATAGCGATTGGTAAATATAGAGTTACATTCTATTATTATAGTTTAGTTAAAACTCCTTTTCGTTTTGCTAGTGAGATGTAAAGTAGAAGGTAGTAGTATTAGTTAGGGAACTTTAACATTTTTCATACAATCAGTACGCTTCGTCATTCGTTCTTTTCAAATAAAAAACAAGTTCATTAATCATCTAGGCACACGAACAATCATTTTTATATATAACCCATAATTTACATGTGTATAACAAGTTCAAAAAAATAAAAGAAAGAACAATAGAAAATGGCCTGAATAAAAATCTAAGAATTATCGAAAGAGGAGAGAATGAGGCGATTCAGGTAGAATTAGTAGACTAGTAAGTAAAGGTGACTGGTGATTCGTTCAGCAGTGGTAGACAAGCATCAAATGTTATGGAAATGAGAACTTATGTTAGGATTTTTGAAACTTTGGACGTGATTTACTGATATAATTTTATTAAATTATGATTTGGATTGTTAAAATATATGTTTTTTTTGTCATTTCATATGATTTTGGAATAATTTTAGTTTAATTTAAATATCAGGCAAGGACATGTATTGTGAACTTATTAAATCATATGTCAATAATGATGAACCTAATTTACTTTCTATGATTATTTCAATATGTAAGTTGTAATTTGTATTGTTACATTGGTATTTTTTTTTTAAAAGTGAAAACTGTAAAAATTTTAAGATAATAAAACTAATTTTTTAATTAAAAAAATTCTAAAACGATTCGATTTGGTTTTGTGCGGTTTTTGAAATTCAAAACCTAAATCAAACAATTTTGAAACAGTTTGGTTTGGTTTGAGGAAAAAGAAATCACGGGTCCACGTGGACCCCAACCAACGGTTTCAACTCAACATTTTCACTTCGATTTGCGGTTTTGCGGGTTTTTTGTGCAACCCTAGATACTACCATAGTCATTTTTCTTTTTTTTATCTGAAATATTATATATTCTTAACTTAAAATTATTATTAAATCCTTGTTTGGTGGGATTAAAATCAAATTTTTAATATTTTTTTTATAGAAGTTGGATCAAATGTATGGTTGAAAAGACGTGGGACTCATAATAATATGTTGTTGATTTTGAGTTAGATTAAAATCTAAAATTTAATTGGTAACAAACTGGGGCTAAATGACAAATAAGCATTCATATTTAAAAGATTTTAACAATAAAAATCAATAACAAGTATAAAATTAAATTTATATTATATAAATGAAAAATTTTAAAGAACTCAATCAACGTATATTCTCGACACTTTTTTTAAAAATTGCGTATCAACACACGTATCAATATTCTTGCACAATATAGGGGAGTATAATTGTGGAGTTTGGCTAGGATATTCAATTTTAATTCCATATGTCATGCCTCGTTAACTTGTGGAGATCCGGTTGCCACGGTCAAGTTTGCTTTGACCTATGTGTTTCATTCTTTAACTGAGTTACATTGTGAGGGTTGATTCCCTTAGGTTTTTCTTCATCACCTAGAATCCAATAAGGATATATAGGAGTCAATGAGGCAATTTTCCTGTACGACATATTCTTTCACTATATGGTTAAATGTCTCAAAAATCACAAATTCATTGTCAAAGGCCCTACTTGTTTGAAGTAGTTCGTGCGTTGAACCTATTGGGGCTTCATCTCAAGCTTCCACAAAGGATGGTTCGGGGGGAGGAGGCTTGACCATAATGACCATTCGAGAAGACCATAACAGATGACATAGTATAGCCATAGGTGAGCTTCACAGGGTCATACTGTCCTATTTTCCTTCGGCCGAGAGCATGGGGACATATGAAGTTGGCAAGTGCAGGGGCGTTACTTTAAAATTTTAATCAGTGGGTGTTGAATTATTATTATTATTTTGAAAAAAGGCAATAATAACAATAAGCTTTATCGCGACACTCCAATCAAGAAAATAATTGAATCATTTGTTCTGAAACCGAAGAGATTGAGTTGTTCCTTGTGTTTCTAGAGACTTCACGAGTTTGGTGGAATAAGGCCTAACTTCTAGTAAATAAATGAAAAATTAGTGGCGTTATATATAGCACGCGAACTTTGTTTATCTTTACATCAGCGTAAATTGGTTGTGAAATTGGTGCTGTTAATAAAGTTAAAGAGTATGATTGGCAACATACATGAATCTAAAAAAATATGAATGTAATATGCCACATGAGAAAACTCATTATTTCAATTCTTTTTTCTTTGAGATAAGCAAAAAAAATAAAAAATCTTAACCTTACGATGCTATTTAAATCATTTTTCACTATAAAGAACAAAAAAGGGAAAAGTACATAAGTACCATACTTCAAAGATACATTTTATAATTTAAGAAATTTGATAAAAAATTGTAACTTATATTTAATTAAACAAGTCACGGTCATAATAAACACATAACTTATAGTCAGTGTCATATATTAATCACAATCACAAAAGAAACGAATTTGTGAGTTACAGTTATATATTTAATCGCAAAGTACACACTTGGTGTAAGTTTTGGTGTAATGGTTGAAAATAAAATTTAGTTTAGTGCAAGATTTGATGCAAATTTTGATATAGGGTTGAAGATGACCTTACATGCTTTCATGTAGATTTAGGTAAAACATTTAGAATCTTTTTCTTTTGAGTTAATGGAGATAAAAAAAAAAAAAAAAAAAGGAATATAGATTGTAAAGGATGTAGGAGGAAGGTGCAACGGTCGGTTGAGGGAATGAAAGTTGTGACGTCGATCCAATGGACCCAAAGCAAGCAAGCTTATACTCATTGGTTATATAGATCTTGAGAAGGTTGTGGCTTGTGTGGCTCATGGCAAGGGCAAATGATCAACTAAGAACATAAGGGTCGCCTAAATTAAAGATTGAGGAGGATCTAAGAGCTCCTATTTAAAGGTCGATGGACTAAAGTATGATATGTGTAAAAATTTGGGGACCTCTACTGCTATTTTCCCTAAGAAAAGAAAAGTGTGACCGTCGAGTTTGACGCCTTTTGTTGAAGACAATTAGGTTACCTCGGAATTGTCCAACAAATCTGAAAAAATTGTTATCTTAGGCATAATAATTAATAAATCATTCATAGTCAAAGATAGCTCTTTTTCTCCGTCGCCGGCCGCCGTCTCTAGTGGTGTTTTCCGACACCTCCATAGCAGAGAGAGAAAGAAGAAAAAGCAATTACTTAAATAATAATAGTTTTCTGTCAAGATTTATGCTTTATTCTGTTGTAATTTTAGCATAATTGATTGTTATATGAAATAGAAGTTTGCTTAGTGGAGGGTTATAGGCATGGATAAAGTGTACAATAAGATCCGGATTTTGGATGCATACCCGAAAATCAATGAGGATTTCTACAGCCGTACATTCTCCGGTGGTGTTATCACGCTTGTCTCCTCAATTTTCATCTTCGTGCTATTCTTCTCCGAGCTGAGTATGTATTCGACTTGCAATCCATTTATCTTTTGATTAACTGATTACTGTGCTGAGTTTTTAGGAGTACCGGATTTTTTTAGATTACATGTTTGGCTGAGTGGTGTTTGTGTGATTTTGTATTCATGTTTATAAAAGCGATAAGTTAAATTCGAAGAATATTTGCACAATTGTGATAATTTCACTGATTTCTTCCATATTAAAAGTGCTTAACGAATTGTTACTTTTGATGGAAATGTTGGAAAGCTTGAATGTACTTATAGTGGGAAGGGTGGGAATTGGATTTTGGATAAATAGAGATCTAGACTTGATGCATATACATGGAAAATATTGCTGTCTCCAATTTTCCATAGAGGACATTACCATTTTATTCCTTGAACTAATATTTGCAAGTTAAAACTTTTTTGTTTTGTAACACAAAATTTATCTCGACTAGAATTAATTAACAATTGATTCAATTATGGACTTGAAGTGAGGATCAATACCTTTCTTATAGATGAAGATGGCATGCGCAGAATCAGCTTTCATTAATGCTGCTAATATGAGGGTCCAATGGATACAGGGCTTGTTATGTTCGAGGCTTATTAATGGGCCACTTTTGACTTCGGTTAGCTGGGTTTGATATGATCTAATTGTGGGGGAGGACTCGACCAGAAAACTAGAATAATAGTTGCTATGAGGATTCTTGGGAGATACCAAACTGCTAAGAATATAATGCCCTTAAGCTTAGTTAGAAGGCCAAGAAATCTATTATTGACATTCTGCCTTAGTATGAAAGGATTTCAATTTTTTTTTTAATAAATGAAAGAAGATATGGAGGGAGGGAGATAGAGAGGTTTTTGCTTGATGTTGGGATTTGAAAAAGTAGTAAATTGGGTAATAAATAAGATATTTGTTTTTGGTTTCACTTGTGATTGCAAAGTAGTCATTGTAGGGCTCTGATTGAGACAGAATGGTTGTGTGTTCAAATTGACATAATGGGAAACTTCATAAATTTTTATAGCTGTTTACTTCAAAATGACTTTTGCATCAGTAACCCATTTAATCGGAATGGTTTCTCCTTGCCGGTTCACATATCAAGTGTTATCCTTATTGTGTCAAGCTCTATACAATTTTATTTTTAGTCAAAATGAATTAGAGAAAAGCACCAAATATAAAGCCAATCGAGGCAATGAAAAGACCAGCTGTGGACAGAATTAGAAAAGATAAGAATAAACAATTACTCATTTCACCGGAAATTTTCATTCCATATCGTANGAAAAGACCAGCTGTGGACAGAATTAGAAAAGATAAGAATAAACAATTACTCATTTCACCGGAAATTTTCATTCCATATCGTAACTAAAATCTTCATATGAATGCAAAACATTCTGGAAGCATCATGCTACTAGCAAAATAGAAGGCTGACAAGGAAAATCTAGAAGGAATCTACTTCCTTTACTGTATCAGAGATTGCCTAAAATTATCTGTGCCATTTGTTGCTGTAAAGGTATGGTCTATGCGAATCTATTTCAAGTTCAATGGCTGATCATTAAATGGTGGTACTATTATCTTATGAAAAAATATTGGTAATTTCTCGAAGTCTTGGGAAGATTACTTCTCTTTTGTCAGCCTCACTTCATAGTTCACATCTAAGAGTTGCAAGGGGTTTCATAAAAGATATCTTATGGGACAGCAGTTCTTCAAGGAGTTTAGTTCTGTCACTAGTTGTCTTGTCACTGGAATGCTATTTACATGTGATCATATGAAAGTAATAGCAAATCTTGGCTGTGACTATGTTTCAGATGTGCAATTGCCTTTATTTATAATCGTTTGAAAGAATGTCACCATCTATACAACCCCAGTGGAGGACGTATTTTGCAGTTTGCATTTTGTTTCTCCGTCAACTTCAATTTCATATTTGCTGGATTCTTAAATTTCAGGATTGTACCTTCACACAGTTACAAATACAAAGCTCGTAGTAGACACATCTAGAGGAGGAAAACTGCATATCAATGTAAGCTCATTGCTTTATGTCAAAGTACCAAATAAACTTTTATTTCTATGGCTTTTCATGGAGTCTATTTATACTATTATCTTTGTAAAACCATTACTTTCAATCAAACTACCTGAAGAAAATTTTAATTTTCTATAATATATTTTTGAACTGTACTTATATATTTTTGTTTATCTGCATCATGGTGTTGTGAGGTAGGTTGGTGACTATAAAATTGATAAGGAGCCAGATTTCTTTCCTTATGATTTATAATATTATCTTTGGGAAGGACCTTATTGTCTCTACCCCTTCGCTCCTAGCATGCTTGAACAATTTATAATTACCCTGCTTTCTGTTCCATTCTTTTTCAGTAAATTTATTTTTTGTACCTCTTCATTTATTTGCAGTTTGATGTCACTTTTCCTGCCGTTCCTTGTACATTACTCAGTCTTGATGCCATGGATATAAGTGGGGAACAACATCTTGACATAGTATGTAGTTCTTATAGTTCTTGTCAACTTGTTTTACTGTATACACTTCTTGTGGAGTCAAGCCTAGTGTTTTGGTTCCCATCTCTATTCTTGATAAGTTTCTCTAATGAATTGGTCGGTATATGGTTTCCTTAATTCACAGAGACATGACATATTCAAGAAAAGAATCGATTCCCATGGAAATGTAATTGAAGTCAGAAAAGATGGAATTGGCGCGCCGAAGGTTAGTGGAAACTTGACTCTTTTTTACTGTTCTGTAAGATCAGGACCTCTGTTTCCGTCCTTTGCCCTCATCAAATTTGTTCCTGTGTTTGTAGAGACTGATATCGTGTGTTTCTTATCCTTGAATATAATTGGCAACAATACCTTTTTCATGCTGACTTGGTTATGGATACCTAAATATGTGCTCGAAATTGCTGCCAGTCATTGTTTTAAAAGTGCGGAGGCTTACGCCTTTAGGCTCATGAAGCCTCCATCAACGAGCCTTCATTAAGTGTCTTGAGCTCACTCTTTGAGTATGTGGTTTGTTAACCTTAATAATGAATTTTGAGTCCTGGGGGCTCTTAGGCCCTAGATCATGTAGGGAGATAATTCCCCATGATGTTAAACAGTAAGAGTCAATGCTCGGCAGATATATGCCAAATCATACAAAGAATTATTTAGCGTATCTAGGCTTAGGCCTCAACTATTTAAGAGGGGGGAATTAAATAGGATGCAATCCATAGGATTAGAGAGAGAGAGTGATGAAATAGAGAATGTGATTGTGCTACTGGTATTTTGTGTGATAAGATCCCTACAAGGTTTAAAGGTCAGGCCTAAAAAATAGTTATTAGACTTTCTCGTGAAAATAATCATTCTAAGTTGGATGTGTGGTCGTAAAATAGACAAGACATTATACGATATTATATGACACCAAGTGGATGGCCAACATATTTAGGATAATTAAGGAAAGGTTGACTTGGTTGGTTGGGATATGTTTTAAGGAGTCTCCTATTCATAAGAGGGGCGTAAACTCAGTGGAACAGGTTAGCATATGCAGGAATAAACCAATACTAACATGATTTGATGTGGTTTCAAATAATTTAGCCTCCGCTTGACAAATATTATAAAACCATTTATAATGGTTAAATTTCATGTTGAACCATACATTCCAGTGGACCCACAAGTACTATCAGTTTATCAACAACTCATTTATATCTAATTATAAAATAAACCCTTTATAAATTTTTCCTAAACTGAGGCTTAGTTGCTTTGAATCTTTTAGTAGATTTTGGAGTAAACCAAAGAGACATGAGAATAAAGTTATATAGCAGATCCAAATTTATTGGGAACAAGGCTTATTTGTTTTTAATAATATGTAATATGCCCTTGTATATATTCCACCTTAAGTAGGCAACCATTCATATCGCATGGTAGATCAGACTTCGATGAATGGTTCTTACAGTCAGGAAGTACAGAAATGTTGTTTAATTGGTTTTTGTCTTATTTATACATTTTTATATGATGTTATTCCTTTGTTTTCCTGTATTACATATTTGACTGGTAAGGATCCTGGGAATAGTTTCTAGATTGATATATATTATGTTCTGCCCTGTCTATGTNATTCATATTAGAATTGAGTTGAGACATATGCTTCATAAAATCAATACTTCTCTTTTATTTCTTTGGTTCACTGACTACCTCTCTCGCCGATCCAATTTATGCAATCCAGATCGAGAAGCCTTTACAAAGACATGGTGGCAGGCTTGAGCACAATGAGACATACTGCGGTTCATGCTATGGTGCTGAAATGGTACCTTTCCCTGTTTAACCGACTTCTATGCTTTCTTTACAATTTTTGACTAAGCTTAGGAGCTGCTTGATTTGAAGCAGGCATTATGAATGTTTGCCAATTAATGGGAAATTCTGGAAACATCATATTTTTTTGCCCCTGTTTGGGCTCCATTAAAATGAGACTTTGGAGGAAAATGTGTTCTGGAATAGGGTGTTTTCTTTCTTTTTTTCTTTTTTTCTTTTTTTTTTTGAGAATGTGTGGTTAAAAAATAAGAATTTTTTTTTTGGATTTATGCGTAACATTATATTATGGGAGAATTTGTGGTTGAAAATGAGTTTTGGAAAATTGGAGCCAAAAAGGAGCTTAATTGAAACATTATTATAGCTTTGATCAGGGTTTACCATGGATGATGAATGTCGCGTGCTTCTTGATCTCTATTTTTTTGTCATCATTTCTATCCTAATTACGCACTTGACTTTGTGGTACAGAAAAATTATCCTAGCTATTCAATTCATTTAAAATTCAAACACAACAGATTTGAACCAAGTGTGTGGCAATTAGTTTTACTTCCTTACAAGGATGATAGCAGAGTTATTATGGAGGATCGTACTGTCTCAGCGGGATTTTGTTTTAAGAATTTAAGTTTTGATTGTTTACAAGGAAGACAGACATAAAAGAGGATGTTATGTACTAAAAAACCTGTTAAATTAATACCCAAGTTCTACATAATGGGTAATGAACTTGCTATTCTTTATGGTACTGAATGATGGGTGCCGAGAAAATGTCTAGGATAAAAGTAGTGGAAATGAGGATACTATTATAGTTGTGTCCGTTATAAGATAAAAAACGAGAAAACAGGAACAAATGGATGTGACATCAAATTAAAATAACAATGGCTTAGGTGGTTTGACATGTTACCTTAAGAAGCTCTATTCATAAAAGGGACATTATCCTACTAAAATAGGTTTAAAGAGAAAGAAGTATACCAAAGTTAACATGGTTGTGTGGTTGCGAAATATTTGATTGCATGGGATCTCCCAATAGATGTAGTGATGGAGTGGAGGGACAGAAAAAAAAATGTTTCATGTAGCCAACTTAAGTCCTTTACTATGGGAGTGGGAGTGTGTGGAGGACAGGCATAGGAGGATTGAAGTTGGAGGGAGGAAGTGTAGAAAATACAGCCTACCTAGCTTGTATTAGCATATAATTAAAATAATTCGTGAGTTAGCACAAACTATGGTAGATTTGTGCACTTGGTTTTGTATTTTCTGCTTATTTTCTGCTTTGTATCACTATAATTTGTGCCAGAGAAAGCAGAAGTTGAATTAGATTTTTGCAGGTTATTTACTTGACTAGGGCCAAAACTGTAATTTAGCATTATTTTCGTAGTGCTGCATGTGACTTTAGTCTTGGCTACTCTGTAGGAATATTAAAAAGAAGAGATGAATATACAGAGTGATTCATTTCCTAATATACATGAACTGCTTTAGACATTATTTTCTGAAGATCTTTTCTTGAGTCCACTTTTAGGTTATTTGTTCCTATATTTACCCCTACATCATGGACACATCATTTAATCTCTTTTTCTCAAACACATTGAGAGAGAGTTGGACTAATCTGAAATCATTTTTTCTTTTTAAATTTCTTTTGCAGTCAGATGATCAGTGTTGTAATTCATGTGAAGAGGTTCGTGATGCGTATCAAAAGAGAGGCTGGGGGATGACAAACCTAGAATTAATTGATCAGGTTGGTGGCATAACAGTGTTTCATTTTTTCGGATTTTTGTTTCTATGGTAGTTCACAATTACAACTTGGTTTGATGGTTAACATAATGTTTTGGCTGAAACCAAGGCAAAGTATTATACTTCTGTTTTTAATTGGGATGTTTGAAGGATTAACTACATAAATTCTTCACTCATGGTACTTATCTACTAGATGGCTTTCTTTTAACCATGGAACCACATTGAGCCCTTGTTTGAGCTACATTATTTTTCATAAGAATGCATTTTTGAATAGTGTAGTGATGAGAAATGTGTGGTAAAAAATAATGAATAATTTTGGATTTGCGTGTAATATTATTTTATTGAAGAATGTGTGGTTGAAATGATGTCAACTCACTGTTTAAAAATGTATTTTAAAATTTTTTTTTTTTTGAAAGAATGTGGGTCAAACAGGGTGTGAAAGTTGTTTCCTCTTTAAACTAGAGAACTTTCTGGGTACTGCCGTGTTACATTTGAAAGTTTTGTTCTGTAGCATAAACTCTCAAGTAGAAGGTGATTGTATATTAAGTAACAACTTTGGCAATGCTCAAGCAAGCTTCGTAAATTTGTGACAACATGAGTTCAATATCTAAATATGATTATGGGATATGAATCTGCCCACATCTATATGCACAAGTAGATTTGCTTATCAAATCTAACCTCCTTGTTTCCATCGAGCCACTTCAATTCTAAATTTTTCGAAACTGTTTGCATAGACCTCAGCTGCATAGTTGCTTCTTTGGATAATCTATTTGGCGGCCTTATTAATTTCTTTCAACTTCTGAATCATCAGTTGTAGATTTTGGTGTGTCACTTCTGTTCATTTTAAATTTCAATATGAAATTTTAATTAGTTCTTGCGAATTTTATTGCTCCATTGGAATCAGTTAGTGTTTGAAGGAGCTCATGAATGCTATCTTGAGAGTCTTCAAAGGCAGTCTGATTGCACTACCTTGCCTAATTAAGTTTGCTTCGCACCCCTCTCCTGCTGAAGATTTATACATTAGGTATAATTAAAAATTAAAGTAATATGATGACGGGAAAATGGAATGTGGAAGTTCACATTTGTAGTTTGAAGTTCAATGAAGACTATATACACACTTAGTATGTTCCTTTTTATTTAATTTATGTCTGTAGGACCCATATAAAGTTTACAATATTTTGGGGATTTTTCTAAGATATCCTTCGCAGTGATAGGTTATAAAATACTCTGTTTGTAGGGATTATGCCACTGTATCTGTGTGCACACTCACCATTACTCTAATTTTCCCCATAGCAGATTTTTGTCTACTTTTCTGATGTATTATGTTCCTGATAATTAGTGTAAAAGAGAAGGTTTCATCCAAAAAGTTCAAGATGAAATGGGTGAAGGATGCAATATCCATGGATCTCTGGAGGTTAACAAAGTGGCTGGAAATTTTCACTTTGTCCCGGGCAAAAGTTTCCATCAATCGAGTTTCCACTTGCTTGATTTGCTTGCTCTCCAAACAGAAAGTCATAATGTAAGATACAATCTTATTTTCTGTCAGGATTGATATTAGAATTCCATTTTAGCATGTCCATCTTTTCTATCTCTGGAATGGAAACCACTTTTATTTAAATTCTCTGTTAAATTCAATTTTTTTACACTTTTCATCTTAGAAACTTCATTACATATTGTGCAGATAAGCCACAAGATTAACAAGCTAACATTTGGAGATTCAATTCCTAGACTTGTAAATCCGCTAGATGGGTAACTTTTCAGAATACTCTTGGCACATAAGTAATTAGAGCATTCGTTGTCTTGAATTTTATATAATTCAAAAGCATGTTCTGTGCACGTTCACTGTAGATGATCCTATATATTTCTGCATCTGATAAATGTCTTCTAGAGTAATTGTCATTTGCTTTAAGAAGTAGACATTCAAAATACTGAAAACAAAAGAAAAAAATTACTACTTCAAGGCTTCCAGCTAAAAAGAAAGAAAAACCCTTAACAGGAACAGATGTGGTAGTCCCTTCCTTAGTTTTCTACTCTATATTCTTCATTATATCCAGTTTTATTTGAATACTTATTTTCATTCAGGGTTCAATGGGTGCAAGAAACACCAAATGGAGCATATCAGTATTTTCTCAAGGTCAGTGGGCTCCGGCAACACCCCCCCCCCCCCCCCCCCCCCCAAAAAAAAAAAAAAAAAAAAAAAAAAAAAAAAAAAAAAAATAAAAAAATAGAAAAAAAAAAAAAAACTTAAGAGCATCTCTTGAAGACTCCATATTTTTAAGAAGCATATTCTATTATTTGAAAAATATCTATAAATTTAGAGAGTTAAATTTTTGAAGTACTCCAACAAACTCTTTATATTTAATATTAATTTTACTACTCCCAAAAAATATGTATTATTTTTCTATTTTAACGAGCTTTTCTTTAGATTATTTTATTATTTTCCTACATTAAAAATTGAAACACTTTGAATGCCCCTTCTCTAAAATGTTAATTTGAAAAGTCTCTTAGAACATGATTTTAAGGGTTGACTTTTTAAAATAGAGAACATTTCTTATTTAAAAAGTATATTGGAGATGCTCTAAGGCCCCGGCCCCCCCCCCCCCCCCCCCCCCCCCCCCAAAAAAAAAAAAAAAAAAAAAAACCAAAACAGAACAATGTTTATGAACTTGGAAAAATATGAAGGTTTTTCAACGTGTTCTTCCATTTGCCCATTAGGAATTAAAAGAGATTTGTACTGTGTCGAATTACAAAAGCATGCCAAAGTATTGAATATGAATGCTCCAAAGTAGGTTTAACAAGTGGGAATGTCTGAATTTCTGCCCGACCTTGCAGGTGGTACCAACCATATACACTGACATTAGAGGCCGTACAATTCAGTCAAATCAGGTATTTGAACTTTTCTTAGAGGGAAATTTTCTTCAACCTTAATTTTCATCTCTTTATTTTGTAAAATGGTGCTTGTGTTCTCAGTTTTCTGTGACTGAGCATTATAAGGGTGCAGAAGCAGATCGCTTCCGATCTATTCCTGGAGTTTTCTTCTTTTATGACATTAATCCTATTAAGGTTAGCATTGCTTTGCCCAGACTGCACTAGACTTCATTGACATTATGTTAAAAAAACTCCAAATTTTGTGACAAAATCAGCACTTCTAAAAAGAAATAGCTTAGCCTTGAAGCCAGATTCATAACTAGGATGCAGTATTCTAATTGTTTTTGCATGTTACAGGTGACAGTCACGGAGGAGCACGAGCCATTCTTACACTTCCTGACAAATATTTGTGCTGTAGTTGGAGGTAATGAGATTTCACGATTTATTATTTGAATCCCGAGCCTCTCCTTTTCTTGTTCTTTATCAATGTTTTGAAACCGTCTGAGCACGGACCTGGAAAATGTAAAGGATTGAGAGTCATAAATGGTTGAACCAGAGGTAAAGAATTATTAATATCGAGGATATAAGTTGTTCTATGTAAAATTGGAAAATAAAAATCAAATATCAAGTTTATACGATGTTAGGCATATTAATAACAAAAAATCTAACCAGAAACCTAATCAACCCGGACAACCCATGGACAATTCAACCTATCTTGGTTGAGCAAGCCAGACGGCAGGGTTCATCCTGGTTTTTAAGCTATGACAGGTCTAGTTTCTGGTTTTATCTGTCAAACTGGCTGGGATGAGTTCAGTTTCAGAACACTGGCAATTATAGATGTACCATCTCTTCTTCAACTGATAGTTACATGTTTGTTGACTTTTGGAATGAGAGCCACTTTTTTTGTGGTTTTATAACTATTAATAAATTTAACAGAAATACTTGAAGAAGATTAAGACAAATAGAAATTGAGAATATCTCGAAAGTTTCACTAGGAACATGCATATTGAAGAAGAATCTAGGACTACCCTTGCAATGGTACAAAACCTTACCCATGCTAATTTGATTTGAGTATATTTTCCTTTTACAAGTAAATTTCCATTACCCTTATATATAGACATGATTAGAAGTAAAAATGCTGTGCAGAAAGTCATGCCAGTTTTGGTGGGCACTAATAATGCATCATGCGGATGGCAAAATGCCCCGTTTTCCAGGGAATCTCGGCAGGGATGGCGAACATGGTCTATAACCTGACTATTATTTTTTATTATATTCTATTTTTTATGTTCTTAAGTTTAATGGTATTTAAAAAAAAATAAGTAAATAGGGTGGGAAATGGGGGATATTTTAATGCCATGGCCAGACGCAGCCCTGGCCCCCGTCCCCCAAAATCCTTGGTGGGTCAGGGACGGGGAGGCGGCATCATCCCTAATCATGCTATATCATAACCAAAATAGTAAATTATATCTGACATTAAAACTTTTCAATTCTCTCTGCACATTTGAGTACTAAAATAAGGGTAAAGGAATGTTACTTTCAGAGAAAAAAATCCTTTCTGTGAGACGTAGTGGTTGCTGCCAATTAAAGATAAATCATTCTATTAAGTATTTCATATCTTGTGTCTAACAATGAGGTCGATGGCTCCTTCCCCAAGCTACGTTGTCCTTTGAAGATGTATAGATGGAAGTATGGTTTTCCTTCTCCGGGGTGTGTGTCTTGCCCTTTTGGTCAAGAATTGAATTTTTTTTTTTTTTATATGACAAGTTAGCATCCTACACACCAAATAAAAATAAAAAATAAAAAATAAAGGAAGGAAAGAAATAATTGATTAACCTGGGTACTGCTACTTGCTACTTTGAGGTGGGAATGGCAGTGCTTTGAAAGACTCCATTCACCTTTTTTTTTATGCCACATACTGTTGATGCCTACAGTACTTGGATGAGATTTTAACCCTCCGATGTCATTTATTCCCCAGGTGTATTCACAGTTGCTGGAATAGTGGATTCATTCGTATACCACGGTCAGAAGGCATTAAGGAAAAGGAAAATGGGCAAGTTCAGCTAATGTATTGAATCATTATTGAATATGCACCACTATCCTTGTTGACCTCGCCCCTGAAGCTGAAAATGCTGCTACTTGGGTAATGTCTGGTACTATAATTTAGTTTGATTAGTCATGCTACTGGCAAAGCTTAAAACTTTGCTCATTTTACTCAAGTTTTGGCACCTGCAATCTCGTTAATATTGTACTTTGTGGATAGATGTTTTACTTTCTGGAAGTAGACATTTTCATTTGAGCTGTGTACTTCACAGCATTGCCAAAATGTGGAGTCAGGCATATTTTATTTTGGAATTATGTGCTCAAGTATTTGAACAAGAGTACTACATTCATTTGTGGAAGGAGTTGGTAGATTTTGATGAGTGTTTTTGAATGCAAAAACATAAGAGAAACGACGAAAACATGAGACTAAATCACAAAGGGTTCGATGTATGAGCCATTATTTTGATAAATTTCGCGTAGTTAGTACAAGTAACTGGATTACTTTTATATACCATTTGAATTGAATTTGGGGAAAAGGTCGTTTGTAGTAGATATCGACAGTAAATGTAACGATTCTAAGGTAGGGAGATTCCTTGTGAAGTAAGTTTCGACTTACAGGAAAGGCGTAAATATCAAGAAATCGTCAATTCAATACTCTTTGAGGTACTGCGAAACTACCGTACCCAAGAGATTTGGTACTTCGGAAATTAATCGTTTTAGCAAATGCAAAAAGCTGAACATTTTCTTTGAAACATGTTTGGCATGGTTTAAATTATTAATTTAAATTGATCCAACACCATTTTTTCTTCACATTCTATGGATCAACAACTCATTACTCACTTATATCTACATGTCTTGTGAGATGAGATGCTTAGCTCTTGTTTAAGTCCCATTCTTCTAAAAATTAATTTTTTCAACACTCGTTTTCAATCACATTCTTCAATAAAATAATATTACATGTAAGTCCGAAACTTTTTTTTTAAAATTTTTAACCACATAATTTTCATAAATTTACTAATCAAAATGCACTCTTTTTTTCAAAATGGGGCTCATACACACTCCCAAACAATCGCTAATAATGTGGGGTCTAATGATTTAGACATGTTTATCGAAATATGTCACGAAAAGTCGCATCAAATTCACGCTTTACTTAAGTGGATGAATTCTTGTCTTTTGAACATTTAAAAATAATTTGATACGAATTTCTAGCTATGATGAAGAAACAAATAATTGTTGCATGTTCTCTAGCTAGAATCCTTGAAAGATATTTAAATGGGGTCTGACCAAAGGAAAATCATAATCAAGAATTAACAAATACCAAATCTTATTATTAAGAATAATGTCATGTTACAAGGAATACCCAATTTTAATGTAAATTCCAAGTGTAGAAATGAAAGATCAATCTCCTTCCTTATTTTCCTCAAAGAACAACACTATCATGGTCCCAGAAACTAAGAAAAAACACACATAATTTGAAGAAAAATAAATCATCTGCGTTCAGCTGCAATTAACAATGATGGAGTGCTAGCAGAGAGGGAATCATCTGTTAGAGATTGATCCAAAGACAAATCTTCATCTTCCGAGTCACGTACAACCTTAATATCCTCAACCTCTCTAAGAACCTCAGCCATCTCGGGTCGTTTTTCAGGCGATTTTTCGCAGCATTTCATTGCAATCTGCATGAGTCTAAGCATCCCATGATTTGCACTTCTCTGAGCAGCTATTTCAACATCAAATATCTCAGCTGTCCATTCCTCTCTAACTGCACGGTTAACCCAACTGCAGAGGTCTACTCCATTGGCCTCTTGTGGGGCCGAGTGGGTCGGGATTCGCCCAGTTAAGAGTTCCAGGAGGAGGCAGCCATAGCTCCACACATCAGTCTTTTTTGATACTATTTTGTAGCCTTGATATTCTGGTGATTTGTAGGACACCATGCGTTGAGCTGCTATAGGAAGTGCTATGAGTGATATTAGGCCATAATCTGTAACTAGAACTTCATCATTTTCATCAAGAAGAATGTTGGATGATTTTAGATTTCCATGTGGAGCAATGATTTCTGATCTTATTGCCGAGTGTAGATAGCCCAAAGCACGAGCAACGCCACGAGCAACCAACAATCTTGAGCTCCACCTGAATTTTACTCGATTTTGGGTTCCTCTTCCTTCTGCAGAATATGTAGAAATTAGAGATTTCGATGGATTTATGTTATTGTAATTTCACTCCTAGCTAGCCGTATTTCGAACGTTCATCTTGAAGCACTCAAGAAGGAAAAAAACCAATAAAGAGATGAAGGGGTAACGACATCTTGTTTGAGTTGGAGGACTTTCCGCTGATCGAATCCATCCATAAACTTAGGCCTCGTCACTCTAATTACTATTGAGTTCTTCTAACGATAAACCTAATCCCAGTTCTTATTCGGGCCACAAGTACAGTAAAATATACTTTTGAAATGGGCTTCAGTCAAACACATTCAAGAATTTTAACTTTGAATAAACGTCGAAGTATAGATATTTACATAATACAGTTATGAACAAAAATTATGGCCCTTGATTCAGAATGTCGAAAGCATTTCCAACAAGAAGAGGACAAATAACAACATAAAGGCATAAAATTCACAGCATGAAAACATGGGATACGATGTTTTGTACGTTGGAATGAACATGATTAAAGAAGAACAAGAAGTTGAAATCCCGTTCATTGTACTATTGAGTACTGTTCAATATTGTGTACGAAATATGCCTATAAAGTCGGAAGTAAACTTACCATGAAGGCGGTTATACAAGTTCCCATTGGATGCATATTTATACAATAACAGCTTCTCATCTTTGGAGTAGTAGTAGGCAAGAGGAGGCAACAAGTTGGGGTGTTTCTTATCAGCAATGGCATGGACATATTTCACAAATTCGTCGCTGGTTAGAGGTTTTAAATCTTGTAAGCGTTTCACAACGACAGCCAGTCCAATTTCCAGCATAGCCTTGTAGCAGTTTCCAAAATTTCCTTTACCTAAACCTTCTGCAGATGCTTTAAGAAGATCATCAAGCTCGAAATAAGTCCCCTTTTTATCTAAGAACATAAGCTTCCCTCTGTCGTCTTGTCCAGCAGGAACACTCTTTTCCATTGAGTTATTTGTAAGCGCGATAGAGTTATTAGTAATCGCTTCACGCTTTTCTTCATTGACTTGGACCGAGTTCCTTCTCATCATCTGTTTCTTGAGCTTCTTATATTTCTTGTAGTAAATGATGAGGAAAATCAGAAGTACAACAAGAACAATTAAGACTACCACGATCAAAATGGTTGACAAAGATGAACTCTTGTTATTACTATTTCGAGAATCATATGAATCATTTAAGCTGCTACTGCAGGCTGTGGGAGTAGGTGCACCACACAAACCTTGATTACCATCATATGAAGAAAGGACAAATGATTGAAGAATTCCAGTGTCTGGTATTTTCCCAGAAAGATTGTTATGAGAAACATTGAACTCTTTCAAGCTCGACTGGTCAAACCCCGGTAGTGAACCGACAAGATTGTTCTCTTGCAGCTGCAAAGATTCAAGGAAATTCAGTCCCAGAAGAGAAGAGGAGATTTCTCCATCAAACCTGTTTGCTGACAAATCAACATTTTGCAGTTTTGAATTATAAGAAAAGTCCATCAAATTCCCTGATATGGAATTGTTCTTGAAGCTAAGGATTGATAACTCCGCAAGATTGACAAGTGCGTAAGACTCGATCTTTCCAACAAGTCCCATGTTTTCCAAACTTATACCGATGACTCGACCATTGTTACACTGGATGCCATACCAGTTAGGGGTGCTATTCGTACAGCACTGAATGCCAGTCCAGTTTACATTAAGAAATGAGTTGTTGAATCCCTTCTTGAGAGCCAAAAGCTTGTCTCTCTCGTCTCCATGGAAACCGTCGTGAGAATCCTCGGCTATAACATGTTTGCATAGAAGAAAAATAAGAGCTATGACAAGGAGATAATTGAGTAACTTAGAAGAACACATTATCTAGTTGAATGAACAAGGCCTAAACCGATTGTTACATGATAAGGCTATATACACGAATAGAACAAAATTTTTCTTGTAATTGATAATTTAGATGGTTTAGTAAAATATTAGTAAATATTCCCTGAAATTCCATGACAGTTTTCAGATTTTATTGTGAAGAAAACAAGAAAATTTGGAGAATTTTGATTGAAGTTTTCCTAGCTGAGAATTCTAGGATTCAGAGAAAAAAGACATCTTGGGTTTTCTGTCACATAGTTGTACTATTCCTAGGTTGTGCTTCACGAACTGATTCAGGGATTGTTTGACAAAGTTTTGGATAAAAATTCTAGCAGATTTTGATAAAATTGAAAAAAATGTATTGTTAAAAAATTGATAAAAATTGTGAATTTCGTTAAATGTATAATTAAAAATAAAAAATTAATTATTAACTTTGACCTCGACTTTTTTATCAATTTTTTAAGTTATCCCAAAGTCTAAAGACAAGTTGGATACATCTATGAATATCTCTCAAAACATTGTTTTCATGGCATTATTATTGTGCTAGAAGTGGATCTGTGGCCTGTGGCATGTTAGGAAAATAATATTAATATCCTTTAGAAAATTAACTATTGAAGTTCCAGAGGTTGAAGTTTTACTATAGCTGGCTATGACTGTGTGTGCTGTACAATATATAAGGCCAACTTTTGTTTTGAACTTCAAGAAAAACTTATTACATCCGTCTCATAAAGATAGATTTGTTTCTAATTTTACATAGATTAAAAAATTTAATTAATATAGTTAAAAATATAAATTTTTCTTATATTTTTCCTAATATGCCCATACATTAAATAATGATTTAAAGAGAATTAGTTTATATTTGTTGATAACAAGAAACATTAAATAAGAGCAAATTAGAAAATAAAAAATTATCAATATTTTTAATATGGAAAGTGGTCTATAATTTGGGATTGACAAAAAAGAAAACCTAACCTATCTATATGGACGGAGGTAGTAACTTTTAAAGAAAAGCTTGAAAAAAAAATTTATTAAAAGAAACTTTAAAATTACTATTATGTTTGGTTTAGCTTTGAAATCTTTCTAGTACATTAGAAGTTGAGATTTGCTGTTCAAAATTTGATGTCCAATTTGTTGTCCATCATTGAATGATTGTCACATGATTTTACATTTAAGTGTCATCTAATTTTAAGCACAAGTGATAGTGATAGTGATAGAAAAGTTGAATATATTAATTTAAAATAATGTGTCAATTAAATTGAATATCAAATTTTGGACAATACATCTAAACTCTATTTTAAGATAAGATGGAACCATAATTGTTTGGGAAAAAAAATCTAATCACCAGGGAGACAAAAACATGACTGTATATATTAA